ATCCCCCATATAGTAATTCATCCCCCCTATAGTAATTCATCCCCCCTATAGTAATTCATTCCCATATTGTGTCAATTCACTTACCTGTACTCCGCGCGTTCCTCTCGCCGTGTTCCCGTGCAGTTCTGGTCTTCAGGGCGGACTGTGAGAGGAGAGGAGTTCGTCACGCTGCCCCGTCTACATCCTGACAGCCAATGTTTGCCACGCTCCGCGGGCCGGATTATAAGGTCCGCCGGGCCGTAGTTTGCCCATTAGCTAGGCTAGCTGCAGAGTCCTGACTTTTGGGCGGCCGCCCGAGAGGAGGGAGGGGAGCGGGCGCCTGGCACACAGAAGAGCTGCATTAACCTCCCTGGCGGTATGATTCCTTCCGATTTTTTGTGCTGAAAGCGGTACCATTTTTTCGCATGGAAATAGTTTTTTATTGTAGGCTGTAATTTTTAGGAAAATTTTCCCCACAAATCATTATCACTCAATTCTGCAAGTGGTTCTGATTTACTATCGCTGTTCTCTAGCCGGTCTAAAACCGCTTTTGACCTAAAGGGACGCTTTTTGGACGCCATGGACTTTTCTAAGTTTCCAGGCAGAAAGAACAGACAAAATGCAGGCAGGGCACAGGAAAAGGACTAGGGACAATATGTATGTGAAATGGGATGAAACAGCAATGTTTTACTATTGAAAATTGAAAAAAAAAAATAAAGACATTTTTTAAATTTTTTAAATTTCCCGCCGCCGGCGGCGCCCGTACGTCCCGACGTCACGGGGACTGGAACACAGAAGCCGGATGCCGGCATCGGCCGGAGGAGATGGCCGGGGACGCTGCAGGGGGACACATCGCGGGAACGAAGGACAAGGTAAGTGCTGCAGGGACCCCCAGAGCAGCGCCGCATGGTAAGCCCGAGTGTAGCTCGTGGTATAGAAATTCTACCACGAGCTACACTCGGGAAAACCGCCAGGGAGGTTAAAAAGAGCCGCGGCTTGCCGACCACTGAGCTACGGCAACCCTATTGCCTGTCACCTGGTGGGCAGTGTGCTCCGGAGCCGCAGCAAAGGTGAAAAAAGAGCCGCATGCGGCTCTGGAGCCGCGGGTTGCCGACACCCGGTATGGAACATCAGATCAAGGGCAGTAATTTTAGAACTAGACCTTTTCTGTAAATCTAAAATAGTACCGTATTTTCTGGCGTATAAGACGACTGGGCGTATAAAACGACCCCCTACTTTTCCTGTTAAAATATAGGGTTTGAGCTATACTCGCCGTATAAGACTACCCCTCTTCCAACGCACACCAAATAAAAATGAAAAAACATCAGATTTGATTTCAATATGGTATGCTATTTCAGTATGGTATTCCAATGATGGGGTGCTATTCCTCCCACTGACACCAATGATGGGGCACGATTCCTCGCTGTGGCACCAATGATGAGGCACTACTCCTCCCACTGACACCAATGATGGGGCACTATTTCATCCACTGACACCAATGATGGGGCACTATTCCTCCCACTGACTAATGATGGGGCACTATTCCTCCCACTGACACCAATGATGGTGCCCCATCATTAGTGTCAGTGTGTGAGGAATAGTGTCCCATCATTAGTGTCAGTGGGAGGAATAGTGTCCCATCATTGGTGTCAGTGGGAAGAATCGTGCCCCATCATTGGTGTCAGTGGGAGGAATAGTGCCCCATTAGTGTCAGTGGGAGGAATAGTGCCCCATCATTGGTGTCAGTGGGAGGAATAGCACCCCATCATTGGTGTCAGTGGGAGGAATAGTGCTCCATCATTGTGTCAGTGGGAGGAATAGTGCCCCATCATTGGTGTCAGTGGGAGGAATAGTGCCCCATCATTGGTGTCAGTGGGAGGAATAGCACCCCATCATTGGTATCAGTGGAAGGAATAGTGCCCCAGCATTGGTATCAGTGGCAGGAATTGCGCCCCATCATTGGTATCAGTGGAAGGAATAGTGCCCCAGCATTGGTATCAGTGGGGAGAATAGTGCCCCATCGTTGGTGTCAGTGTGGAGGAGGAATAGTGCCCCATCGTTAGTGTCAGTGGGGGGAGAGCAGCGGCTGCTCCTTCTTTCAGATTTTCGTGGGGCCGCTCGGCTCCGCCTCCTGGCCAGTGATTGGTCGCCTGTGTGCCTTTCCAGTGCTGGCGCCCAATCACCGGTGGGGAGGCGGAGCCGAGCGGCGCCGCGCGACCATCGAGCGGCTGAACTGAAAGAAGGAGCAGCTGTGCTTCCTGGACCGGATCTTCGTGGGACGGGACTGGAGCCAGGTAAGGTACAGCAGCCCCTCTGCCCACCCCTGTAGTTGGTGTCCGTTGAAGGAGGGGGGGGGGGGCGGCGCCGCCCCTCGAAAAAGTGCCGCCCTGACACTGGCTCGCCGTATACCGGCGTATAAGACGAGACCCCCCGACTTTTCAGAAGTTTTTCTTGTGTTGAAAAGTCGTCTTATACGCTGGAAAATACGGTAGTTTGTAAAGGATTTTAAAGGGGTCTTTGGGGGGGGAGTTCGGTGCTATCCTGGCATTTCAGGGCCTCCAAAACTGTGATGGGTGGTGAGGAAGTGAAATGAGGAAGTTACGCACTTTCAGGCCTTCAAAGTGGTCATTGGATTTCAGGCTCCTGTATGTGGTTAGGCTCCCAAAAAGTCTCACACGTGGTAACCCCATACTCCGTAGAAGTAGCAGAATGTATTTTGGGGTGTAATTCCACATATACCCATGGCTTGTGTGAGAAATATATCATTTAAATGATAAAGTTTTTGTCATTTTCCAAAAACTTGTGGAAAAAAAAAATCTTCCATGGACTCAATATGCCTCTCAGCAGATCGCTTAGGGTGTTTACTTTCCAAAATGGGGTAATTTGGGGGTGTTTGTACTATCCTGGTATTTTAGCACCTCAAAAAATGTGATGGGCAGGCAGAAAGTAAAAGCTGTGTAAATTCCATTATCTATACCATAGTTTGTAGATGCTATAACTTATACACTTATTGGGATTTTTTTTGTTAACCAAAAACATGTAGCAGAATACATTTTGGCCTAAATTTATCAGGAAATTTGAGCTTTTTGGATATTTGGACAAATTAAAAAATACCATTTTTTTTTTTTTCTCAAAAAAAAATTTTTTTAAAGCTTTTTTTGTTTATAGCACCAAAAATAAAAAGCGCACAGGTGGCCAAATACCACCGTAACAAAGCTCTATTTGTGTGAAAAAAAAGGACGTAAATTTCATTTATGTACCATATTGCATGACTGCGCTATTGTCAATTAAACTAGTGCAGCGTTGTATAGCAAAAAAATGGCGTAAATTGCAATGTCTACACCATAGTTTCTAGACGCTATAACTTTCACACAAAGCAATCAATATACACTTAGTGGGATTTTTTTTACCAAAAAATGTAGCAGAATACATTTTGGCTTAAATTTATGACTAACTTTGAGTTTGCTATATATTTTTTATAGCCGAAAGTAAAAATCCTTTTTTCGTCAAAATGTTCGGTCTTTATGTTTATAGTGTGAAAAATAAAAGCGCACAGGTGATCAAATACCACCGAAAGAAAGCTCTGTTTGTGTGAAAAAAAGGATGTAAATTTTGTTTGGGTACAGCATTGCATGACCGTGCAATTATCAGTTGAAATAGTGCAGCACTGAATAGCAAAAAGAGGCCTGGTCAATAAGGGGGGTAAATCCTCAGGATGGCAAGTGGTCATAGATGCCTCAACCCAGACTTTTTGCTTGCATACCATGACAGTAAAAATAGAACGTTTCACTAACCATAGTGGTGTCTCAAAAATTGAGGGGCAAATGTCCTCAATATAGCGAGAGCAAAAAAAAAAAAAAAAACCTGACAGGATCTAATCACTCCTCACTCTGTCAATATAGTAAAAGTGGTCCCACTGTATATTCTCAATGGACACCAGTGCTCGGAACATACAAGTCGCATACCACTGCTGATCTCCTTCTGAAAATGCCACATGCAAGGCTTTTATGGTACTCTTCTACAAAAGGCTGCAATACTTTGAATCACAGAGCTGGAAGTATGCTAATCAGAAGTGCTGACTTTACTTGCCGCATAATTGTTCTGGGTCAGTGACTCAATTCAAGTCAAGTGAATTCAAGCCAGAGACTATCATGCAACAAGCAGAAGTGGCATTTCTCTTTCAGCAGGTTGTCTGTAATGTAGTAAACATGAAAAGGAGAGGAAGGTGCCTCTAAGTGCACTATAGACAATTTATTAGTGAACAATAGGTAAATTGCACTTACAAAATAGTTAAAAAGACTCATCGTATGGTGTATTAAGATCCAGGTAAGACATCCAGCTGTCCAGCAGCAGCTCAATGTATAGGATCAGGAAGTAAGACCTAGGATGTGTCAGGCACATCCTAGGTCTTACTTCCTGATCCTATACATTGAGCTGCTGCTGGACAGCTGGATGTCTTACCTGGATCTTAATACACCATACGATCAGTCTTTTTAACTATCTTGTAAGTGCATTTTATCTATTGTTCACTAATAAATTGTCTATACTACACTTAGAGGCGCCTTCCTCTCCTTTTCATGTTTACTGCATTAGAGCCTTGCTTCCACTCTAAGAAGAGCCACCCTAGTGTTACTGCTCCCTTCCATACATCCATACATCCCTGATATCCATCTGGCACCTTTATCCCACAGCTACATAGGTTGGGCTCTAAAAAGCGCGCCATATATAATATACATTGTCTGTAATGTATGCTTCATTCTTTAACATCTGTTACCCCTTTTTCCAGTCATTGACAAAGTTATTATAAGTTTTTTTTTTTTTTTTTTTTTAAAGTCTCAAAATATGCACAAGAAATGTGATACTCCTTGAAACACACAGACATTTGCTATAGAAGCCCACAAAATGCAACAGTAAAGTCTTTAACATCTTATACTCAATAATAATAATCATTATTAATTTATTGTATATTTACTTTTTACCACAAATCGCATCAACTCAATGTCTTTTCTTTGCATCCCTAGATATGATTCAGGAAATGCCAGCTTTGTGATCATCATTGGCGAGGCAAGATACCATCCCTCCCGGGTCCAATACGATTCCAGAGTGTAAGTGAAATACAGTGCTGGCAGTCACTGCATTACTAAATAACCATTGTCATATATATCTTTTACAATTGATTTGATATGTAATTTAGTTTAACAATTCATGCTAGAGTCCCCCCCCCCCCCCCCCCCCCCCCCCCCCCCATCTGTGATCCTGCTTATTGATTCCAGTTGTAGCCGGCCAGAATATTTGTTGCCTTTCACTATGGCTAAAATGAAAACCTCTACAGAAAACTCCATTCCTCACTTCCCTATAGACAGAGGGGGATTTTCACAATCTTCACTGCTGATTTTGACTCTGGCACCAGTGTAGGGGACAGTTTGTTTCCCACTGACTGCCATTTCAAGGGTATTGTCCTTTCAATTGATTATCAATATTAAAGCATTTTTTTTCCACTGAACACCAAGACTGGGGCATTTTTCCTCCCTCTCTCAGCATTGAATATAATACTATGTTACATATTTATGACCACTGCACCCTATATGCTGGTGTATTCACTTACATACTACTAAGCCTTACATTTACACTGTGTTGAATGTTACACATTTCTGAACCCTGCACTTGATTTGCTATGTTGTACATTACATACTCCTGACCCCCTACACTCTAAAAGCTATGTCATACATAGTCCTGACCCTCACAACCTATCAGCTAGCTTATATGTTACTTACGATTAGTGCACTATATTGTATGTCACTTTTTCCTGACTTATGTTTCATAGACCTCTCCAGTCTCTTCTTTAAGGCAGGCTAAGACAAAGTTTTAGCTGTCTGCCTGCATGTGTGCACCCTGTAGAGTCATGTAGGCCTGATGCAAAGGGGAGCAAAAGATGTCAATTGCTGTCAATCACAATTATTGCTTGCCCCAAATGGCATGCCGGAGTGTCACATAGGGTAGATAGCTGTAGAGGAGGAAGGGAGCTCAAGGCTACATAGAGGGTACATAGGGTACATTGACTATGGTATATACTCTCAGTTTATACAGTGAATAGACTCGGGTTCAATATAACTGTGTCCATTAGGGCGATTCAAAGCAAGGAATATGACACTCTGAGGGCAGTATGCCACAACTTATTCCTCCTCAGTATATCTCTAGGACTGCCTCTCTGTTTGGTCTGAAGTTCCAGAGACACAAAGACCCACCTACCTGCTAAAAGTAATTTTTGATGCTGATTAGGTGCTATGCTTCAGAATATGGCATATGCCACTAATCACTGAAACAACCTCCTTTTATGAACCACCTCACTTCCTTTTCAAACAAGAAATGTTATAAGACTGTTTTGGGAGGGTTGTTATGCTGCTGACATGAAAAGGATGACAGGTTTATCACATATAAGTGCAACCATAAAAAGCACCTCTTCTGCATGTTATAGACCTAACGTTTTAATTGCTGTTTGCACTATGTTCTGTTGAAACACCTCTATCACATCATATAGACTTTTCGCATATGTGGTCCATTTCATTTAGTGTCAGTGGCCCCTATTTTGTCTAAAACTGGCCCTGCCCATGGTCTTTTAGTGACTAGAGTACCCATCAAAGAGTCATCATTGATGTATTGGAGTGAAACCAAGCCATGTAGCCAGGGCGCAACGCAGGGTGAGTCGAGATCCAGAAACTAATTGGTTGATGTGCAGGACTGCTGGTGTCCCTGCAAAGAAAAGGGGGAAATGGCAGGATTCCAGGCATCCCTTTTCCTCATGGGATGGTGGCGGATAAGTCTCTAGCCCCCAATTGATTAAATTCAACGGGGGGGAGGGGTTACATGATTGGTCAGGAGAGGTCAGCTGATTGGGAAGTTTCTGGAAGTTCTGGAGGCCTCAATCAGGATAGGTCAATTATTTTCACCTGACACCCCAGAATGTGTCAGAAACCCCAACATTCCCAATTTAAAGAAGAGTCGTTAAGGACCCTGTGCCAGTCGCCAGAGAAGTCTGGGGCACCCCACCCTCCCTCGTCCCTCGTCACCGCCTGTTTGTGGTGGGTCCCTTTCAAAAAGTTCAAAGGGGACTGGTAAAAGATTAGTTTTAAAACAGTTAAAATGAAATTACAGCTCAAGCCTTAATGACTGGGCCGATGTGGTTCTGTATTTTAAAAATATTTTTTTTTTTTTTTTTAAATAAAAAGTATATTTATGATTTGGTAAAATTGTGAAAACCAATAAACAAGGCCACGGCCATTATCAATCCACGTTGGTGTTCATTGGTTATTTGTCTGGAGGTTAATTCCATCTGCCGTCCCATTTTTGATCATTCCCTAAGGCATTTAAGATTGTGCTTGCATGTACTTTTAAAATGTGAGTTTCCTGTATGATTTGTTTTCATCAATAAACTAAAAGATTTTACATGATTAGTGTGGATTCACATACGTATGTGCAGTGCGAATAGAGGTTTCGTAGAATTGTTTTCACTGCTAATTGACAAAGTAGTTGTTCAGCGTTTCAGGTCAGGATTTACCCTGTTCACAACTGAATGACATGTGCGATTCAGAAGCTTTCCCATAGAAGTCAATGAGCCTGAATTTGCACCTGAGCCGGACTGCACAGCTCAGAAAACTGACAGGACTCTTTCAATTCGCACTGAATCCGCACTCCAGCTGAACTGGACATATGTGAACAGGCACAATAAAAAGCAATGTTCTTTCACATGTCATGCGAATTGGATGTGGTTCAAAACTCAAAGCTCTTTGTACTTTTTCTACTTTGATCTTACTTGATGTATAAACAGTGGAAGTCTATTAACACTAAGAAGTGTATTTGGTGGACTTGTTGCCACGGAAATATACCTAAGCTGTGTTTTCCTTTCTATGATTGAAAGGTAAACAATACACTATATTGCCAAAAGTATTGGGACGCCCCTCCAAATCATTGGATTCAGGTGTTCTAATCACCTTCATAGCCACAGGTGTATAAAATCAAGCTCCTTGACATGCAGACTGCTTCTACAAACATTTGTGAAAGAATGGGTCACTCTCAGGAGATCAGTGAACTCAAGCATGGCACCGTGATAGGTTGCCACCTGTGCAATAAGTCCATCCATGCAATTTCCTTGCTAATAAATATTCCACAGTCACCTGTTAGTGGTATTATAACAAAATGGAAGCAACTGGGAATAACAGCAACTCGGCCACGAATGGTAGGCCACGTAAATTGACAGAGCTGGGTCAGGGCATGCTGAAGTGCACAGTGCACAGAAGTCACCAACTGTCTGCAGAGTCAATAGCTAAAGACCTCCAAACTTTGTGTGGCCTTCAGATTAGCACATCAACAGTGCGTAGAAAGCTTCATGGAATGGGTTTCCATTGCTGAGCAGCTGCATCTAAGCCTTACATCACCAAGTGCAATGCAAAGCATTGGATGCAGTGGTGTAAAGCACGCCGCCACTGGACTCTAGAGCAATGAAGACGTGTGTTCTCTGGATTGACGAATCACGCTTCTCTGTCTGGCAATCCGATGGATGTGTCTGGTTTGGCGGTTGGTAGGAGAATGGTACTCACCTGACTGCATTGTGTCAAGTGTAAAGTTTGGTGGGATGGGGGATTATGGTGTGGGGTGATTTTTCAAGGGTTGGGCTTCGGACCCTTAGTTCCAGTGAAGGGAACTCCTTAAGGCATCAGCATACCAAGACATTTTGGACAATTTCATGCTCCCAAGTTTGTGGAAACAGCTTGGGGATGTCCCCTTCCTGTTCCGATATGACTGCGCACCATTGCACAAAGCAAGATCCAAAAAGACATAGAACGAATTTGGGCTGGAGGATCTTGGCTGGCCCGACCTCAGTGAGTAGAAAAGGTCCTGATGTCATTGTGGAAAAAAAATGCTTATGTTTGGTGTCAGTGGAAGGAATTGTGCCCTATCATTGATGTCATTGGGGAGGAATTGTGCCCCATCATTGGTGTCAGTGGGAGAAATTGTGCTCAATAGTTTGTAGCAGTGGATGAAATAGTGCCCCAGGGACGAGATGAAACCAAGCAATGGCCCGCATCTGTCCCCGGGCCGCAGCTTGTGGACCACTGGTCTAAATGATATATTGTGTTTTTTTATAGTTAATTGTGTTTGTCAAGTGCATTCTAAAAAATTGGTATGTAGCTGCTGTAGTTGGATTGTGGTTTCAGGGGTGTTTTCCCTTAATAAGTGCAGAATATAATTTTAATTAGATATAGCGTACGTTCCCTTTGTCTGTCTCTGCAACCTTCAGAAAAAGAGTTCCCTTCATAAGCAAAGTTGAAGAAAAAATTCCTCTCAAGTACTAAGTGCTTTGTGATGCACTGGATATACAAGTTCAAAGGGTAGAAAGAATATACAATGGAGACTGCTGTTTTGGTTGATGTCTGATTTATCTTTCATCTTGCTATTGCCTTTTCTGATTGCAACTACACAGGCATTTTTCCTTTTTTTTTTTTTTTTTTCTTGGGGGATTAAAAGTCTTGTACCCACTTTCAACCATATGAAACTAATAGTAAAAGAAAATGGCAAGTACGTTTCTTAACCATGTCTTTGCTTTTTAAATGAAGAATTATGTTTAGACTACTTGGATGTATGTGAACTTGTGGCATTTTGCTTTTTGTTGTCCTTTTGTCTACTGCTTATATGGACTTATCATAGGGAACTATGTGGGTTAGAGTAGAACAGTCACTGGTGAATTGCTTTTAAAGGGGTAGTATCCGGAATTGCCATTTTCATCCTTGCCAAACTGCCCAATGAGGTTGCTAGGAGTTGAGCACTATCTTTAAGAGGAAGAATCTTCCTCCTGACCATAAATGTAAGAACCTTTCTTCTCATTGACCATTGTGCTAATGTAATGTGTTCTGTAGATATAGTAAGTATTATCAGGGGTTCCTTGAGACAGAACATTATTTCAAGGGTTCCTCAATGCTAAAAAGGTTGAGAAAGGCTGACCCCAATAAGTTACATACACAGAATAATTATGCAACTATTGAAGTTACAATTTACATCTCTTTGATCAGTGATGTGATAAGTATGATATCACTGGGCACCGTAAAAACAG